TATATTAATTTGTTAAAACTTAGTATAGCCATTCTGCCATGAAGATGGAATAGAGGACGTGGGAGTTACATGCATTTGTTCCTCATTACTTAGTGGTCAATTAATGACCATATGTATTATGGACTTTGCTGCTTTCTGATGAACGTTGCAGTGAACGTTAGAATAGTCAAAGTGTAACACTTGGTGCATTTGTTATCCTCTCCTTTATTTCATTCTTTTATTCCTCCATTATACCTTGTAACCTATGTAACTCCTAGGCCATTTATCTTCACTATTTACTACACCATTTATCTTCTTATTCATTGATAGGAAGACTTCTTCTAGTATAAATAGTGGTGGTCGTCATTTGGTTTGAAACAGACAATACAACAAGAAATATAGAGTGCATAAGGTTTGTCAAAAAGAGAGTTCTTATTAGTTGAAGGGAGGTGTTTCTTTTTGTGGAGCTTTGGACTCAACTCTTGTCCAGAGTTGTTGAGTTATATTTTGTGATTAGGCTGTTGTATCGGGGACAAGTCTAGAAGGACTACTGCTGGACCGGTGAAAACATTTGTTGCAGTGGGCTTGAATCTCCTTAAAGAGAGCGAGATATCCGCCCCTCAGCCTAAAGAGATTTATTTTCTTCATATTTATTTTCAATTGTAATCTTGTATTTTTGTTATCTTGTAAGTTTTTTTGTTTATATATATATATATATATAGACTAATATGTATAACTAAATTAATAAAAAGGTGATTGAAATTTATCAAAATTTAAAAAGTGTTTTAATTTTAACGAATGAAAGAAATATGTGAGAAGGAAGAGGAAAGGATTTAGGAAAATTAATTAATAGTATTAGTAATGAAATTATAAAAAGATAAAAAAGAAGATTAATTTTCTGATTTTTTTTATGACAATACATTAAATGAGACTGATTGAGATAAAAGTTTATGAAAAAAAACGTATATGGTAGTAGGAAAAATGTTTTTTATAGAAAATTATTATAGACATAAAAGGTAAAATGAAGAATTTAAGGAAAAACAATAAATTTTAATAATAGTGATGAGAGATGAAAATAATAAATTGTAGTGAATAATGATGAGGAGAGATAAATAAGTTATTTTAAATATTTTTTTTCCTTCTTTTAGCAGATTTTTGAGATTTAAAAATTGACAAAGAAAAAACAAATGACAATCCTGGCTGAAGAGAGGTGCCATATCACACTTTTATTATCCAACTTTATATAGATTTATAGATTTTTTTATATATTTTTTAAGAGAAAAATCAATTCGAAGAACATATTTATGGTAATAAAAAGAAGGAGATATAATAGATATAATAATAATAATATATATATAATAGAAGTAGAAGGTATAATATTAAATTATGTTAATAAGGAGCAAAGTTGATTTTTCTTTTTAGAAAATTATAAAAATAGAAGGTGGGAAAAAGAATTTAATAAAAAGTAATAAATTGTAATAATGATGAAGACAAATAAATAAAATATTTTAATTTTTTTTCCAGATTTCATAGATAAGATAAAATTAAAAAAATTGACCCAAAAAAAAAGGGTAAGACGACGGAAGAAGAAATCAGCGACAATGATTCTTGAATATATATGGAACAAACTAAATGCATTATTAATTAGAAATTAAATTAAATTTTAATTATATTACATGAAATCTTTTCTTTCCTTTTTCTTTTTCTTATTCCTCTTTATTATTTTTTCATTTTCCATTTTCTACCATCACTATAGTCTTTATATATTCATTACTTCTAACTATCATTTATTTTATTTATCTCCTTCTAATTTGATGGGAAATCTTCCATAATCAATTTTCTCTCTAAAATACCTCATCATTTTATGTTACAATGAAAAAATGTTGAAGAAGATTGAAAAAAGTTACAAAATATATCAAATTATTTGTGACTTTAGAATATAATATTTGCAAGTGTTTTGATTCTCGTGAGACTCTATTGATCACTTAGTCACGCTCTACTGCAATTCACTATTTCTATTGTCATCACAATAGGAAAAAAAATTCCGATCAACATTCTTACCTATGCTATAAGTGTAACATTCAACAAATGTCTAGTAATTTCATGCCCATATTATTGGTGTTTTTACGTTTTGAAATGGTAAGTGAGTGTGTTGATGACTTAATAGGATTAGAAGAGTATCAAATAGTATCAATATTGATACTTGAATTACGAAATTATATTTGATTCATATTAAGGGGATTATATATCTTATTTCATGCCCATATTATTGGTGTTTTTAGTTTTGAAATGGTAAGTGAGTGTGCTGATGATTTAATAGGATTAGAAGAGTATCAATATTGATACTTGAATTATGAAATTATATTTGATTCATATTTAGGGGATTATATATCTTATTATAGTTGAGAGCATTAACTAACTAAAAATGTAGGTAAATAAAGGACTAAAGGAATTAGTAAAACAAAAAAGTGGAAAAAAGTTAATAACGTCACCACTGATTTTGGTTCCTTCAACATCGGATTTGCTATTCTGTCAACTTTGATTTTTCCTTTTTCGTTTCTATTCTGCCTCATCTCTTCCTTTTCCCCTTAAATTCTTCCTTCCAATATGAAATAAAAATGGATGATTATGAAAAATGTATATCTAAAATTTCATATAAACTTTAAATCAGAAAAACATAAAATATATATATTTGCTTACCATGAGAATTATTTGTGAGAGTGACAAAAGTATTGAAGAATAAATTTGTAACAAAAAAAATAATATTAGAAGAAATTATAGCATTAATATTCACTCTAAGTCTTTTTGAAAAATGTAATGAAAAATAGGATGATTATGAAAATGTATATCCAATTGTGCTCTAAATTTATATGGATACTCTTCCATACTTGGAAATATACAAAAGACATGAGAAGAGAAAGTAAACATTAAGGTTAGGAATAGAAATGGGCAAAGCCAATAATAATTAATCATAATTGTCCGTTTTATCCTTTTAAATGGCAGTTTCATCTATTATTCAATACTCATTTATGTACTAATTTTTTAAGGAAAAAATAGACAATTACAAATGCTGGTCATGGAGGGTGCCACATCAGCGATTCTAGATTCAGATTTATATATATATATAGATTTTTTAGTTACACCAACTTCACCCCTTTATTTCCTTAGAGAAATCTACCCTTTATTCGGTTTGATAATAAAACGTATTTTATCAACTAAATATTACTCCTCTTGAGTAATTTTACAAGGTAAATAGGAGAATAGTTTACCTATAAAAAAAAAATATTTTTGGTTAAAGAAAATATTTGTCCAATAAATAATATTGACTTGACACGGAGGTTATTAAGAAATAAATGAATACTTTGAAAACAAATAATTATGAGTTGGATGATCATTTGAGAAATTCAAAAGTTTAATTAGTAGGTAATATGACATACCACATTATCATCCAGGCACACCGTAAAATTGAATTTTTAATAGGTGATATGACATGTTATATTATCATTCGAAGATTTATGTTGACGAACTTATCCTATTGTGAGTATTCCTAATCTTGCATAAGTGAATCGTGTTAAATAGGCTCAAATAATAATACACATTCGCCAAAGGCATTTGTGGCATGAACTTATGGTATGGTATTTAGCTCCATTATCTTACTATAACATGTAAATAAAAATAAAACCAAAAATTAAGAAAGCTAATAATTGTTGCCAACACTTTAAAACAGAAATGAGAAAATTGAGATAGAGATTAGAGAGTTGTTGCAAAACTTAAGAACAAAAGAACAATACAAAGATGAAGACAAAAAGAATATAAGACAAGAGGAACACTATAAGATAACTTTCTTTCTTTCAAGTATTCACCAAATCTTCAAGTCACTACGATATAAACTCTTATGCCTCTATTTATAGTGTAACATGGAGGCATACAAAAGGTTAGTCATAAACATAACATGAATATAACGAAGGAGGTTATGAAGGTGAAATGTTACAAGAATAATGGTCATAAAGGTAGAGGGTATCTTCATAATGGAGGGAAGTAATGGAGATAATTAGTCATAGTAACTTCTTGATGTAGTGGACATCCATACCATAATATTTTATAACAGTTGTAAGATTATCGATTTTACTAGTTCTGAATCAATCCGAGCAGAAATCAGATCGGTCTAATACAATGTTGAGTCCACTGACCTGAGAAGAAATGAAGAAGGGATTCATTTTAGTGATTGTTATAATAGTTGCAAAGGCAAGAAGAGCACTGAACAAATTTTGAAATTTGTAGTCTCCAATCAACACAACAATTGATGATATGAATCATGTTAAGACCCCATCTCCACTATTTTATCACAGCTACCTTCCATCAACACAAATACATATCGAGTAACTCTAAATGTAACAGAACGCTTGCTTGTTAAACCACACGGATATAGTGCTCACGTTCTGAATGTGAAACTTTGAATTTGTTGCTAAATGTTAGATGAATTAGATGGTGTACTCCAAATTCTTCTCTGCTCATTGAAGCTTCCAATTACAGCTGCCTGCGTTTTATCCCCAAGTCGTTTTGCAAAAACATTGTAATAAGCTGATGGATCCACACTCTCCAATACTTTTACTGTTTTTCCGTGCTCTTTATCAATACTGATTTCGCCATCTTCAGATTCAACTCCAGTAGCACTCACTTTTAACTTCTTCACTTCAAAGGTACATTTTACTGCTGACAGATCTCCAGCTACTACTGCACCAAGGATCTCACCAATAAACATATTCTGAAATATTAGGAAGCGGAGTTTGTAAGCTACATTGTGCAGACAATTATTGCAACGCAACGATATATCTGTTATGAATATCACCAAACAAATTGCTGGACTATATAGCAAAAAGACCAGGTGACAAGGAAACATAATGAGAAATTGAGATGAGAATTATATACCACATGTTGGTATGCAGGCTGGAGCTTTTGCAGGCGATACAACCTTGACATCAAGCGCCTGGCAAAGACTGCTTCTGGTGTCCTTTTCAAGTAGAGTTTTTCAAGAATTTGAGGGAATGCACTGGCTTTCCGCTGCATTCCAAGTGGAATGAGAGTGATATTATGTTCAGAACTCAGAACTGTTTTTGCAGCAAAAGGGTCAAGAAACATATTCAGTTCTGCAAATTTGTTACAAGGAACATTGATGACATTTCCCTTCTCGGTGTTATTATAATTGATGTGTCCCCCAACAATTAATATATCCTGCATCAAAATTCAGAAGATAATACCTTTCAAATTAATGGAAATATCTATGATGGATATCTCAAATTCTCAACCCATGAAGCAAAACAGAGTCATTGATATGGCAAGGATTTACATAGAGATCAATCACAACGGAATAAAACAGCTATCTAAGCTAAATGATGACTTAATATGTTTATAATATGAAATTTGAGGGTGTTGACTGACAAAGGAAGTTTGCTTATGAGAGGAAAATCTACCTGAGGTCTTAGAGAAGGATCTGCAACTAAATTCTCACAGTCGAGTCACGATGTATATATTAACATCTGGTTCCTAACTAAAGTAAATTGTCTTTATTCTCTCCTCAAAGACCACAAGAATGGAAGAACACTTGCCTGTATAACATTGCTTGTATTCTTTCCTTCCAGAATAAGCTTTGCTATATTAGTCAATGGGCCATTCGCCAAAATAGTAATTTTCGATTCAGGATCGAGTGATTTCACCACTGATTCCAATACTTCCAATGCTAGAGGTTGTCTGAGTTCAGGATGATCAGTATTTCGAGGAGCTCCAAATTTTACAGAATTTTCTGCTGTGTATCTGGTATTATTATATGGCTGTTATATCAGGAATATTTTAATTGTATAATGCTATATCAGATGATAAACATGTGAAAGTTTATATAACCAAAATGAGAAAAGTAATATGTCAATGTTTGTCAAATTTCATGAATGCACAAGGGAATATATTCTTTACGCTATCAGAGTAGAGAATATACCTCCTAGGACTTCGAGGTAAAGAACGAGCTAAACCATACAAAGTGTCTGAGTTTAGATATCCACCGCTACCTTGTGGGATGACCTTGCTGTATCTGCAGTCTCCAACGGCAGAGAAAACAGTATCAGACTGGTTCATTGCAAATCCATCTCCAAGGCCCACAGGAATGTCGTCACGACCCATCATGTGAAGCAAATCATATACACAATCAATTGTTGCAGCATTTGTCCAGCCAGTCGGACTCACTATTATAGCCTGAATTATTGAAAAGAAGCTGTTTCACATTGAAAGGCACCAATTAATTATGACAAAAAATAAATTATCCCTGTGGAATCAACTATGTTTCCCCAACAGGTTTCTCACAAAAGTGACGCAAAACAATTCTCATGACGGCTAACAACAGTTTTATCCCAAAATTGAACAGAATAGAATTTAGTTAAACATAAAGTGACATTCTGATTGAGGAAATTTACTGCAACTACAACCAATGTCTGATCAAAAACTAAATTCTTAATATTTTCAGTCGAGGATCTCATTGACAATAAGGACTATGCATATACAGATGGAACACAACTTATGGAAGGCCAATTTACCTTGAGATTGATATCTTCTACAGGTAATTTGAGGAGATAGAAGAGAGATAGAAAGTCTCCAGCACTCATATCCATATCCAAAACAAGATTCTTCCCCAAATCTTTTCCCCTCAGATCCGGTTTGTAAAATGCTTCTCTGTAATAAGGAAATTGTGTTGTGAAATTGAATCTTCCAGTGTGTTCTGCTTGGTTTAAGACCTGCAACCACGAGCAATATAGCATCGGTTTCTGCTGACTATGTTAAAACTGTAATGCAAAATGCCACAAGCAAACTTCAGCTCGGTCTGATTCAGAAAGAGACATGTACAAGTTCCAACCAATTCAGACTGAGAAATTAGTTTTAAACTTACATCCAGAAAGCTAACAGAGAACTCTCTGTCTAATATGCTGCTAGCATTTCGATTAGGTTTTGCTCTAACAGCAACAAGAAGAGGCACTCCTCCTGGCTTGTTAACTTCTTTTGTATAACCATCCTGATAATTGTCATCGATTTAGAGCAAGTATGAAATACAGAAAGGTATAAGAAATGAATAGTAATGCAAGAACATAGAGAAGAAGAACAACACTACTATTTCATTTTTCATACTAGTTGATAGAAAACATAAATATCATACTTTGGTAAACAGGAAGGACCAACCTTTTCCACAGATGCACCATATCATCTGTTATTAAGATGAAAGAGGAAATCATATTTCAGATAGAAAAAATCAATCACCTGGCATCTGCACCTTCCGTTCTTGACTATGCAAAAAGGATCACGAAGTCTCGTCTGAACATGGCCGCTGTGAACTCCATTTCTTTCTAAGTTGAACCTTGGAGTTTTACTACCATCAAAGAATGGATTTGATCCATCAGATACACCATATGGCTTATTTGAAGTAACTACAGTAACATTGATATACTCCATTTCAGCAAATTCATTTTCTCCTTGGTGGTTATGTTGTTTACGCATGATTGAAGAAGATATACCCGACATAAATGAGTCCCACATAAAATAACTCTGCGTATATCACATTCTCCTCAGTAATCAAACAAATGTCTTTAGTACCACAGAATTTTAAGTTCTATATTCCTGGATTGTTACCCTATAGAATTGGTCATCGAACCATGTATCGCGAATGATTTTCAGAGACTTGAAACAGTATTGTGCTTCATAGGTGTGTTGATTCTTCTCAAAGGTCTCCAAAAAGTTTTTATTCACAAGAATGGTGTTAGTGGCATCCAATGGGACAATAGTAATTGGAATGTCCGAATGAATAACCTGCAAGATAATATAATGATAACAGCTCCTGTTCATTAAAGATTAGCAAGACATATATCAAAAAAAAGGAGTTCACAACTTAACGCATACGGGTACATGTAATACCTGATATGCAGCAAAAGGATCCATAAATATGTTGAACTCTGCATAAGGATTGCTTGTGAAATCTGTAAATAAATTGCCACGGTCACCACATTGTTGAGGTTGGCAAGAGGGATTGGCATCGTCTAGACAGCAACCTTTAGGGTTCTTTGACCTTATGCCACCCCCCATGATGTAAATGTGCTCAACATTTTTCTTTAAATGTGGATTACTTAGAAGAAACAAAGCAAAATTAGTAAGTGATCCAATAAGAAAAACTACTGTGGGGCCAGCTGAAATCGTTTCAATGATTACTTTCTGAGCTGTTGGCTGTCGAAGAGGTGAATATGTTCTCGTGCCCTGTTTACAAGTTCCATAAGAAATAAAGTTTTTATCCAGAAAGAAAATTATTAAAAGGTGCAGAAGGAAAATAAGAAATGATGAGATTATGCTTCATCAAGTCATGTTATTTGTGAGGGACAAAACTAATCTTGTGCTCAGCCATTATCAGCATAAAAGCAAGACTATGATTCACGTTCTTTTTTTTTTCTTTTCCATCAATTAAATCCCATTTCTTTACCAACAGACTCCAAGCTAGCCTAGTCACCTATATGAATCCTCTATATCCCTTTCACCTCCATGTAGACCCATCGCATCCTGATTCTCAATCAGATCCCATTTCTTTACCCATGAAAAAAAGTAGTACACTAGTTACCTTATCCCAAATTATCATGAGACCAGACACAGACACATTTGAGTGAGACATGATCCTTTTGCAGTCAAAAAATTTCTTTCTCCGGCCTTTCCCCTAATCTCCCATGCACCTGCAGCAAGTGCTAAGCGTACTTGGAAAGACTAGTCTCAGGCACAATTTTGGTGTTTGAGTGAAGCAAGAAGAAGCAAAGGGTACTGAAGGAATGAAGGTGACTTAGTCATGAGGTGCCGAAATTTGGCAGTTCTTACTGAACCGAAGTAAGAAATCCTCTGGAAAAGGTAAAGATCTGTTTTATAGAAAATGTAGAGGAAAAGGGGAAGTAAACAGGAACATAGTGATGCATCATTTCTTGAATAGCCGGACAAGAAGATAATGGAGCCCTAACCACAGAATTGAAATCAATCTGCATATTAATAAGTCTAAAATGTTGCCAGTGTCCTATGATCGTAGTCAAGACACATGCATTAGAGAATTGAACATCTGTATCGCATGAGCTAAAGAGGTGGGAGGGAGGAAACTGATTGTTTTACTATATCCTAGTTCGGCACTTTGATGGATATGATAAAAACCGAATTACAAGTTATCTTTTACAAATATGATTTTATTCGCTTTCCAGCACAAATAGCTTGTCTATATCTACAATGCAAGAAATTACCTGTGGAAGGAAGCTCTTCCGAAACCCATAATTTGAGTCAATGTCCAGACGTCCTCCATGACCCACAGGAATAGTTTGTCTATATCTACAATATCCAGCTGTACCATTTCCCTGAGGAAAGTGAGATGTTAGAAGCACATTAAAAATAGAAAAATGAAAAGAAATTGCAGATGTATAATTAAACATTTGGGTTTACATCACTACAAATATTTTTAACTTGCAGACTTGATTGAAAAGTCAAGAACTCAGAAAACCTTTCTTCACCTGATCTATCATAGGCAGATATCCACCAACATTTGGCAGAATGGTACTGTCAGGAAGTATTCCACCTTCACCGCCCACACCAACAGCAATATCATCGCGCCCCATCATGTAAAGAATGTCATACACTTGATTAACAGCATGCCCTGCATCACTCCATGCATTTGTGCTAATAGTTACAGCCTGCAGCAAAAAGAACTCTCAACTAATTTTCTCTATGAGACCTTATTTTATGAAATAGTGGTACAATTAGCCCAAACTGTCAGAGGGACCTACTATCTGCAAAGAGTACTCCTAGTTCAACTATGAAGTATGACCCATAACATGCTTTCAACAAAATAAGTGAAGATACAAATCCAGAGTCCTTGCTTCGAACAATTTTCACATGTGTTTTATGAGTAACAGAAAGAATGATAAATATCTTCACAATGAATGGGATTACTACCTTAGCATAACAAATATTTCAAATCATGCCATGAAAGCCAAGATAAGAAATCGACAATAACAAATTTAAACGATCCCAGTCCTCAACTAAAAAAGGGAAGAAAAAGTGACTTCTGTTTAAAGATTTTTTCTGATAAAGAATAAGCAATTACTTCAGTATACCTATTAAAAGACTGGTAGACAAAGTGACTCGTGGAGAGAAAGGAATCTCAAATGTTGGGAAGAAAAAGAGAGCATCTACAAACTGAAAATGCGATATTTTATCCCTATTAGGCTTGGGAAAAATGCAGAACGTACATGATGTAGATAGTTTTCTAGATTCCCTAAATTCCCTCTCGGACTAGACTAGACCGTATCTGAGTTCTTGTAGAGGTTCCTGGATATGGAAACTGACACTTTTATAAGGATTCTGATACTACTCAAATCACAAACTTAGTGTTGCTTTGGTCCAATAAAATGATTACTTTACTTTTAAAAGAAAATGACTCTAATTTAAAGAACCATTCTATTTAGAGAATGCAATTACTTTACTTCAGTCTCAAAACGACTCTTAGCACGTACATGACCTTTAACATGACATGAGGTTTCCTACAACAAACACATTCTACACATACAGATTATGTGAAGTCAAGGGATCAGTATAGCTGATATCTCAATCTCAAGGACAAAGGAAGAAGAACGAGAACCATCACGATACAGACTACAACCTTTTCCCTTTTTCTTTCTTTTTGAGATAACAGCATTGGCAGGTCAACTTGCATGCACCTCGAATAATCGTTAGTTACCTATCACCTATTACTGAGAACTCTGTCAACCAAAAGTTAGCCAGATTGAGTTCACATTGCCAGTCCCAAGCCCGGATAAAGGAAGAGGGTTGCAGAGGGTCAATAGAAAACAACCTCACTACCCCATAAATGTAGACCCCACAAATTACAAATTAACTAGGTAAGGCAATACTATTTTATTGGAATATAAAGTAGAGTGAAGTGAAAGCAAACCTGCAAGTCGATTTGGGATGGGTTAAGCTTCAAAAGATACAATAGAGAAAAGATATCATCAGTTCCCATGTCTGTATCCAAAAGAACCCGATGACCCTTTACTCCATTCCACCCAAAAATTGAAATTACAGTCATCATTAAAACTGCTTTGCCTAAAAAACTCAGAAACACCATTGCCTCTTTCTCTTTCATCACTACAAAAGAAGAAGCTCTGATTCTTGATTCTGTTAGGTGAATTTCATTCTTCTGATAAAAAAAAACAGCTTCTAACAATTTTAGCTATAAAATAGGACCATAATAGGACTAGCAACTTTGTCTGCTACAACTAGTTGGAATCTTTCTATAAATTTCTACAAAGGTGATCCGCACTTTTGTATGGTGGCACCGTAGTGATGGGTGTTTGATTCTGCCATTCATTTTATTAATTTTTTATTGGGAGTGTTAACCACACCGGGATGTAAATCGCAGTAGGCTCAAAAGGCATTGAGGGGGATCGATCCCAAGTCATTTGTGTGGATAATCACCCTCCAAACCAACTGATTCGAAGAACGAGTTTCATACTTAAACTATCACTTACTAATTTGTGAAATACATTTTCTCTTTTATTACACTCTCATCATGGTGTAATACACTCCTTTTATTTTAAAAGAAATTATCACATCACACTCTGCATAGACAAAATAATCCATAACAAAAATCAAATAGATTATTAGTATTAGTTCAAGTTAAAGATTAAAATATTACTATTCCCCAAAAAGTTATAAAATATAATATAAAATATTTTTCTAACCCCACTCTACCTTCTAGGGCTACGTATCGATCGGTTCGGTTCGATTTTGAAGTTTGTCGATTCAACTAATCAATTATCGGTTTGTAGACATCTTAAACCGTTAAGAACCATTAAGATATTAGCTTATCAGTTTATTGGTTATTGATCATTATCGGTTCAATTATCGATTTAACCGTTAAGATTTGACACAAAAAATAAATAATTGAAAATCACTTAGAAACATGGTGACAAACCAAATAAGCCAAGCACATGATTTGATAAATTGTATCTTGCCAAAAAAAAACAACACTAACACATTGTAGAATAACCGAAAGTTTGAGATTGACAAAAATAAAAATATGAAACTAAATTCTAAGTCAAGGACTTTATATACCAAAATGATATAAATATAATTTATTAACTTACTATCGCGTTATTTGTTAACCCGTTAAGAATTAATAACCGGATAATAAATAAAAAATCAAAATTGTTATCAAAATTGTTAAACCAATAACCCATCGATGAACCAATAACATTTTTTCAATTCAGGTTATTGATTTTGGTTCGGTTTTGAACAGTCATAACCCCCCTTCCTCTCACCATATTCCTCCCATCCCAAACTTTTAGTATTTTTTTAAGAAAAAATCTTTCATAAAAGATTTTTAAAAAATTCTTACTTCATCTCCCCCCCTCACCCTCCCAATCCCCACCCCACATAGCCCTCCGCTTTCAATTTTTTTCTCGTTTTGTATAATATATTTATATATATTTTTCTTTTAAAAAAATATTTTTTTACTTGCCGCAAAACTTTTTTTAGAATAATTTCTTTTATTTCTGTTATATTCAGTACGCAAGTAGAAAAAAAAAATTCCTAAAAATATATGTACACATCTAACACAAATGAGAAAAATGTAAAAAAAAAATAATGAATAAATTAGGAGCGGAGGATTAGACGGGGTGGGGTAAAATTTTATTTTTTTCAAAAAAATAATATCAAATTTTTTTTAAGAAGGAGTGGGATGGGGGTGAGAAAAAATATTTTTTTTTGATAGTGATACTTTAATTTTTAGTTTTCAACTAATATTAATAGTTTATTTATTTTTTATCAAGGTAGAATATTTTATTTATGTGGCAAGGTTTTTGCAAATAAAAGAGAGTGTGTATGACACACACCATTGAGGTATGTTTTTCTGATAATTTAGGTATTAAACTCACACTCTCAATTGTTTAGATATGAAACCCAAAAAAGGAGAACAGTTTAGGTGTGTTTTGACACTTATCTCATTTTTAATTGATTTTTTGGTTTTTCATTTTGAAAAAGTGTATTGAACGCCGAATCAAATTAATTTGATTTATTTTTTTCAACTTTAATTTGATGTTTTTAAAATATTATTTTCAGTGTAAATAAAAAAAAATAAGCATCAAATCATTAAAGTATAAGATCAAAATTTTATACTTTTAGACCAAACTATTTAATTTTATTAAAAAATAAATATAATTTTAAAAAATAAATTTCCTAGAAACGTACATTTTTATAGACCAACATACATTAATTGGATGCAAATTCGATTCTTATAGAAATGCATTCAATCCCAACTAATTTTGACAAGGAAATATAGTTTGATTGAATGAATATAAAAAGTAGTACACTACGTGACATGCATTCAATGATTGAGTGATAGTAGAATTTGAAGAGGGTACAATAGGCATTGCTCTGAATTTGGAATCAAATAATGTTGGTGTTGTATTAATGGGCAAAAGTAAATGTAACTTTTTACACTAATCTTTCATAAAATTCTCAATGAACGTTCACCTGTAATAGAATCACAGCTTCCTTTTTACATCATAGCTAGTGACAAATGCCCACCTAGGCAAACCAGTAGGATTTGAACTCGCGACATTCTGACCTATCGCGACATTAGACTATCCCGTTAGGGACAACCAGAGTACACGACTACATGTCGATATGCAGAAAGAACATGAACAGACCTACTTGAGCTTTGGAAATTTCAATCAGTGTGTACTCCAATAGCATCTTTCTGCATGCTGCTACTAGCTAGTAGCAATTTAAGATCGTCTGGATGGCAGCTTCTTTGGCAATGGGCTTGTATCAGTACCAGAAAACTCCCACTTAGCAATGATACCGTCCCATCCAGAGCTAACGAGCGTAGGGTAGTAAGGGTGCCAGTTACAGTCTCTCACTGGCTCCTGATGGTAATCAAGTTTTGCAACCTGAGCTCCACTCACCTACAAAAGGAATGAACAAGATGCATGATGGTAATTGATATCCAAGGTTTTATCAATCCCCTTGCTTCCAAAACAAATTTAATGCGACATGGGCTAAAGCTAACCCAGACACCACACATCATCAAAAAATGAAGGATATACGGGATGTGCAGCTTGACCTTCGTATTATATTATATGAAGCATGCCCAGCATTGGAACTTGGAAGTGACTAATATGAAAGGGAATGCTCAAACTTCTTTTTCTCTAATCGACCATCTAATTGGATACATAACATTTTTCTTAAGCTAATCTTTGACTGCTTAATCATCAAGTTAGAGAAAGGGGAGTTCAAGACCATAGTTCCACCAGTCTCTCAGATTATCAACCTATCAGTAATTGGCCTTAACAGATCCAATCACTCAAAGGTGCAGAAACTCCAAGCAGAATGCATGTATCCAAGTCCTATAAAGCACTTAGCAGATTGCGACAAAAGATTCACTAGTTAATGAACCTATTATATCAGCTTATGATTTATGAAGCAATAAAGTAGGATGTTGAAAAGAAAAAAGAGCAAATCAAATAAGGGTATAAAACTCCAAGCATACCACATCATAGATATAGACAGAAGAATCGCTTGATCCAGTGTAGATGAACTTTTGTCCTGTGCTGCAAATTAGAACTTTTGCTGATTAGACGACTGTTCAACAGATGGCATCAAATACCAGAATCAAGGACCAAAACGCAACACACTATAGAAACATGACACGGAAGGTTCATAGATTCATGAATCATGATAAAACTAGTTAATATTATGAGTGTCTTTGGTTGGTCAAAATGTTTTGGAGAACACTTTCTCTACAAAAATAAGTTCCTTAAAAATGAGGAAAATGAGCTCTCTAATTGAAGTAGGGAAAACAAGTTGCATAAGTCACATTCCAAGTTAATTGTCTCCTCTCCACCCACCAAACCCCTCCGACCTCCACCCCTTGACCATCCCACCCCCGAACCCCCACTCATCCCACCCTCATATTGTTTTACTAGATTACATATAAATGCTCTTGAAATAAAAAAAAATTGTGTACTTACCAAAACTAGAAAACAAGGTACACTTGTTTTCTAGGAGAACATTTTCCGTGGAAAATATTTTCCTTCAAACCAAACACTTAAAGCTGAAGTAATTCCTTGATTTAACTGTTGATTATACCAAACAAATATTGGACATTGGTCTTGGCCCTTAGGTGAGGATATCTCACGAAAAATCCATGAAGTTAAGAAAATCAATTCCACGATTTCTCTTTATTTGTAATCCAATATAAAAATCAATTGGTTCCATAATACAAGCAATAAAACTGATGCCAATTAACTTGGAACATTCAAAAGTCTGGAATTCTTGAGCAGCTGCAAAGAAACAATTATGATATGCAGAGGCACTAAAAATTCCAAAGCTGACAAACTATACTTATAGAAGCAAGAAAAGTTGGCTAAATATTTTAATCAAACATGTTTAGCAAAGAAAACTCAACACGTATTAAGAAAGGCATGAACCACCAACCTATGTGCAGGAGAGAAATAACAGCGGATAAGAGTGCGCAAGACTGAGTGGCCTTTATAAGTAGCCAATGACAGGTCATGTGGATTTCTCTTGTTTCTAACATGCTCTGGGTAGTCCATCCATCTGTAATCCCAGTCATAACTTCTAGGCCTTGGGGAGCTATACAAAAGAAAGTAGTCTTATTAGCAGTGTGAATGAGATCTTCTTTGGACTCAAGTGGCAACCATTATAGAACAATTCCAAACAGGTTAAACCAATAAGCCCACTCTCTGCACAACACACTCAAATATTTCTATGTAATGAAGGGTAGAGCAAATTACTCAGGCAATGTAGGCCCTCATGATTCAAATGTACTGATTGGTCATGCACTGAAGCACAAGTGGACAGGGAAAAGAAAATCACTTCAAGGACTAAGTATGCCCATGGGGTGCGGAAAGGAAGATGTGTCGAGGAAAAAGTAGGAAAGGGTGACGGACAACACAAAATGAAGAAAAGAAAAAAGGATCAAGTGAGACATACTAATTAATGTTAGAAGACATTTTCCTTATATCCCAGAGTTTGATAGCCTGATCTTTCCCATTTGAGATAAGATACCGGCCATCTCCTCGAGTGTCAACATATGTAATGCCTTCTAGATGTCCAATGAGAACCCCAGCTGCTTGCTCTCTAGTACCAAAACAACGCCTGTCCCAAACCTGAATATGATCAAGAGCCCTTTCTAAGTCAAACAGATAAATACTTGCAAATTCTAAGAAAAGAGACACCATCAGTATTTCGGCGGCCCATGAGAATCCTAATGAATCCTCCAATGCTAGTTAAAAAGAAGCATTTTTTAACA